CATTGATCAGAAAGGTGAGATCGATAACATTCTAAAATTTGGTTAAATTTAACAGCGGGCAGAAATCCCATAAGAAATGTGCGGGGTCCTTTATATATTTTAACATTATACCTGAAATACGAAGAATTGATAATACGTCGAATTGACGTATACGACGAATTAACGTGTTGATAGTTTGCAATTTTAATCAGACATTATCAAACTTACCGGTATTAACCCGGTTGATTTGGGTTAGTTTGCAATGTAATGTCTGATTAAAATTGCAAATTAACCCAAACTAATCAGGTTATTATCGGTAAGTTTGGTATTCTCTGATTAAACAAAAAGTGTACATACATTTTACCATTATACCTGAAATACGACGAATCGACGTATACGATGAATTACCTATACGACGAAACAACAATACGAGGAATAGACGTATACGATGAATTACCTATACGACGAAACAACAATACGAGGAATAGACGTATACGACGAATTAACGATACGACGAATTGACGTATACGGCGAATTGACTTTACGACGAATTGACGTATACAACCATTTGACTTATACGACGTATTGACTCCACGACGAATTGACGGAAGACGAACGAACTGACTGACTTACGAAGAATTGACTTAGACCGGAGCGACATAGCAAATACTGCTTGGCAACTATCAGTAGTTCCTTATTGAGTGAATATAGGCAGATATTCATTCAGTGAGTATTACACAACTCCTTATGAAGAGAATTGGAATCGATGGAAGATTTCTCTAGTGGATCATGCCTACTCTGACAGCTAGAAAACAACATGTGAGTCTTTGTATTGAAGATAATAGTTACTTTAGAGTTCCCATCTTGGACCAGTGCTATTTTTTCTGTTTACAACGATGTTGTGATGATCATCCAAATATCTTCATTTTCTACAACCCCAAACTTCTTACTGAGGTGAAATTCATAAGCCAGTGCCGATTTTATTGTTATCCTCAGTTAAAATCACATCCTTGTTGTGGAGCCATTCAACCACATCTTGCCATAACTTCTGTGTCGCCCTTTCTAGATATGGAAAATTTCCTGCTTTTATTTTGATCTTCAGAAGTTTACAAATGCAATCTGACTCAAAAATTAATGGTATAGATTATTACTTAACTCAAGAAAGAGGCGTCAGAACAAGGTCATACTTCTAAGCTCTATAAATTTGTCACATAGAATTGTTCCAGGTTGCTTGTGTCTGGTGTTGAGTATCCAATTGGAGTATTGCTGCATTGTCTGGAGTTCCTGGACGAATCACATTTCAATGAGCCCGGAATACATGCAAATTCATCCTCTACAAGCATGGGGTTTTCTCCTAGAAGTATGATTGTATCTTGAGACAAGATGCTTGCTGATTGGACAGAATACTTTGGAATAGAGGCACGAAGACACGCAGCAATTAATTTTTTCCTTTATAAAATAGCCAATGACGATACTGGCAACCACCCTCCTACAAGGTATCAACAGTCTCAACTATCATACACCATCTCGCTACTCGAGACAACACAAGGGATATCAGATATCATCGAACTAATGAAGGGCTCTTCATAGTTTTCTAAGAGACTAGGGAATCTACAACAGATATTCCATCAACATCGACTTGTCTGATCGATTCCTCCAGGGCTTTAGAGCTTTTTCGAAATTGTATTTGACTCGATGTTTCATTTGAATTAAATTTTTTGTTCATTATCTGTAATTTTGCTGTATCCAAGGGTAAAGTACATAACGCATGGTACCATTTGGAATTTGATGCTATAATATAGGATGCTGAGGAACATTGAAATAAATAAATAAATAGTTATCCATGGTTAGGAACCTTCAGGTGTAGAATACGCAAGAATGGCTCGAATACATATTTTATAATCGATTTTTTTTTTGGTTTGCTAGGACAAATTATGATCAAACAATTTGAAGTCCGTCGTACCAGGCTTAGACTCCATTGTAATGGTGATTTTATTTCTTATTGGTTCTAGAATTGGAAAGTGATAATTTCATGAAAACCCAGAAAGTGAAATGTTTAAAAAACGGTCAACCTGTGATCTCTCACGAATGTACCCGAATCAGAAATAGTTGAGGGTGATTCAGCTTCAGCTACTACGAAAGTGAACTCAAATGCACAAAAAAAAAAAAACTAGAATAAAATAGTAAGGGCAACATCCCAAAACTCAACCGATTCTGATCGTTTTCAAATTATAGTGTGTCGCAGGAAGACAATAATGATTCTTTGAAAAAATGATTTAGGTATTCTTTTATTGGCAAAATAAAGAAGTTAAACACTTCACTACTACAACACCTTAAGTAATTAAGTGGAGCTTAAAATGGAAATGGAACTAAAGTCTGTTTTTTTTTTTAAGAGAATTTCATACATCTGCCAAAACTGGTATTTCAACAATGAACTGACATGTTTTGATTGTTGATTTGATCCAATCAGATTGCAATTACGCGATAATTTGCACTAGTGCAAATTATCAGATAATTGCATAGTAACTGGTGCGAAAACTGGTGTTTTGACATTTTTTGACAAAAAATTTATATTTTTGATTTATGAAATTCTCTCGTTAAATACAACTCGTGCAATGGAAATATATTTATAATTTTCGACAAATTTGCACTCATGCGTTTTTAACTGAAAAAGGCACTCGTGCACTTCGTGCAAATTTCCCAAAAATTATCAATAATTTCCATTGGACTAGTTATATTACTATTGATAATTCCCCAAGTCAAAAATTTAGTAACTATGTTGGCAGCACAAGTCTTTTCTACATAAAAAATTTGGAAGCACTGACAATTTTACATTGTATTGCCAACATAATGTCATTTTGACTTTTATCTTTAAAAAAAAAACAGACTTTAAATTTTATTTTTTCCCCAAGATAGATTTTGACATTGTCAACTTCGAAACACAAACAATACCGCTTGGTCCTGATTGGTCGCAAGATGCTGTGTCCCTGCAGGATAGGTATCCTTTTACAGGGTTGGAAAATATACCTTCGTCGAGTGCAGGTACACGGCATCTTACCAATAAGCGGCATTGTTTATGTTTCAAAGTTGTCATTGTCAAAATCTATCTTGGGAAAAAATACACTTTATATTATTTTATTTTATATTAAAAATTACTTTCTTCTTCTAGATTTAAGTTTGGATAAAAAGCATCAAGGGCTTGTTTCGAATTAACAGAAACTAGCGTCACACAAAATTTCAGTCCGCAAGTTTCTGGTTAAAGTTTTTCCCATTTGATTAGTAAAAAAGCGCGAGTCATTGAAGAAGTTAGAGACTCATCACCCCAAAAATAATTCCCCTTTCGCGACACCCCGGAAATAAAATGTATAATTCCTATACTTCGTAGTCGTAGTGACCCCCATGCATGCCCCAAGGCGTCCACGGCCCGGTAGCCATATCGTCAGAGGCCCGTGCTTATGGGCAAGTTCGTGCGACGTGTGCCCCGCATTGGAGCCCCCGGGCGTCTCCAGGAGTCCGGCTTCCGGACTAATGTGCCTTGGAGGCCTTTTATATGTGAGACAACGAGATCGAATTTTAGAATATCATTTATAGGCTTCTCCTAGCTGTTTTCGAACATTACAAAACTTGGTAGATGTCAAACATTAACATGAATGATCCAGTTTGAAGTAGAATTGAATTCTCAACTCTGTCAATCCAGAAAATGACGTTATGGTTTTCTATTTCTAAGCATAACCTCAATAATACAAAATCAACCTATAAAAAAATGGAGAAACCCCCAACATAATTCTACTAGGTAGCCATAACGTAACGTGTCGTCCTCAGTCATCTTTTGTACCAGTTTTGTCATATTTTGAGTTGAAACAATGGCGTAACAAAAAGGTACATATAATATGTTCTATTGGATGTTCGCCATTCTGTTGAAGGTTCCTTTGGAATTGGGTGTTGGTTTCCACTAGACCAATGGTACTCTATGACCCAGAGATCGTCAGATTTCTAGAGGCGAAGGCGTAGATGGGCTTTGGCTACCGTTGGTTCGCTTAGTAATCAGCAGCTTGCAAGAAAATCAGTTAAAGATGGCGCAAGTGTATAATCGGGACACGATTGCGGGTGCACGAAACGAAAATCGCCGATTATTATCCCACCGTCCAGTTAGTAGTCCGTGGTACTATGCGGTAATTTTAACCTAATGATCCCTCAGACGGTACCAATTCTATAATATGTAATGGTTTTATACGTGGCAACAGCGCCTTCTATGGTATAGAGATTGTACCCTACGGGGGTGTTTCCCAGTTTACCTGTGGCGTATTTTTGTTATCTGGTAACAGTGTTGCCAATTGACATTTGTGTACCTAAATTGATTAAACTTAATCTGAAACCTAAAATAAAATCCAATAAAGCATAAACATTTCAACCTGCTTTCAATGTGTCCAGTGGAACCATACGAATACTAAACGGGTACTCCGTGATTGGCAACCCGCTGATAAAATAATGGTACTCTTCTGGGTCATTCAGTACCCAGATTCTTTCAGAAACATTCCGTCGTAGCCGAGATCGCACGACAGTCGGTCAAGACGCAAACCTGTCTCACTTGAAGCAGGTAGGTACCCACACTCGTAAAATCGTAAGGTCGAATTATATTATTCGGACACTTGGACAGTGTTGCCGAATTTGGATTGAAAATGAAATGTAGTATATAGTGACAATTGAAAAAATTAACCGGATTTGTGGTGTCAATTTTAACTTTGACCGTTCAATTCTTTTCATGGAATACTCCAAAATATTTTCGAGGTTGGGACTGATTCAACTATCAAATGTGACATCTGTCATTTTTTATCTAGGCTTCATATCACTTTCAATTGTGATAGCTGTCAAACCCTGGTTATAAACTGTCAAGGAGATATGTATATGTGTGTATATATGTATATTATAATAGCTCTCAAAATACTGATTCAAATAGCATACATTTTGCCTTATTATAACAACAATATGTTTGTTGGCTTTTAAACATTGACAATTCTTACCTCGTCATCATCTTCAGTGCCATTTTCTTGTCCCTCGTCCTCCATCAACACGAACCCGACGTCATTGTTATTGTTCTTAGTGACGTCAGGTGTGTGACTTTCTTCCGGATTTTCATCGTTGTCGTTAATTATAATGATCCTGCGCCTTTTGGATCTAGGACTGAGCAAATCCACGGTGAGCTGATCGCTCGCCAACGAATCGGGCGAGTCCGGATTGTCCATGGTAGTTAGATCGAGTGTTTCCGGTAGCGGAGCGATTTTGACAGATTTCGAATGAGTATTTTCTACTTTTTGGTTTTTTGGAAATTTTAAAGCGAATTTTTGCGGATATCTATAGAAAGAGGAAGATTTGTGGTAAATAAAAGGGTAGATATTGAGGTTGAGCAGTTGGTTAAGAGTATTTGATAGCTGTTTGACATAACATTTCAATAGTGTTTTCTCAAATTTACTTGGGGTAGGTATAAAATTGAAGCGATAAGTTGACATTCTGGTGTTTTGAAAATCTGCAACAGTTTCCGGAATTTTCAGCATTTTTCATGGAGTATTGACTCAATGTTGAAGTTTTGTTTCTTATACAAATCAGAACATAACTTTAGAGAAAACTCAAAAAATTTCACCCGGAATTTGATAATTTAATTCTTATCCCAAAATTTGCTTCTGCTACTTCAAGTAGGTACCAAAAGCAGTAAATTTGTTCACGTAAATATTTGGATAGCAAAAACTGATGGATGGGAAGTTTCAGGAATTTCTACATAATCGTGAGTACTTTTGTTTTATTGTTATTGAATACAGACAAACTTCTCCAGTCGATTTGAAGCGATATTTTGTGGTACGTATGATATACTTCCACTATTAAAGAAATAAGTACCCCAACCAACCGCTTCAAAATCATCAACAACCAAGTATGTGTACCTGTCACCACAGCATCATCATCAACAAGAAATGGAAGAAAAATCTCGACTGCGCGTACTACCGGCACGATGACGTCACCGCGTTTCAGGTACGACGCAAATTCCAGTGACAAATCAAAGAGGGAGTACTATTAAAAGCGCGCAAGTAAACGAAACGCGGCGAGAAGAAGGCTCCGGGCAAACTGAGGTACCACTTGCCGCTGGCGGTGGTACCCCTCACGTATGAGGGGCAGCGGGGCCAAGAGGACAAGGTAGGCCTCTGCCCCTTCTTCCTCTCTGGGTTTGGTACTGTTCGATAGTGGTACCTGTTGTCCGAGAAGAGAGATCCTATTTCTCGGTCAAGAGTCTTTCGGATTGGATTTTTTTTTTACTTTCAGAAATTAGTGATATTGTAAAGGGGCTATAGGAACCCCAAAACGTAAAACATCCCCCCCTTGGTGCCTTAATAATATAAAGCAACAATGTAAATCGACACCTGAAAAAAAAGCATCGGGGCCTATTTTTCAGTTTACTCGGTTAGGGGTGACTTTAATTGGCACCCAAAAGTCAAGGTGTCCCGCTGTGTCGTTATTTTTAAGGGTGTGAATGAAGTCGTGGTATTCGATTGTTATTTTTGAGCTTTATTTGGGTCCTTTGAGGCGGATTTTAATTAAAAATACGATTTAGGACTAAAATAATTATTGTTTAATTACAGTCAGCTAGCTGGGTACTGGATAGTATAACCCAGTACTTGCATTTTGTAGTCAAGTATCGAAAATATAAAATATACAATCACATGTAATCGTATACGTGAGGTACTATTAGTTTATTGTTATTTCTTATTTGAAAGTCAAACTGTTTAAGTGCGTTCTTTTGAATAAGTAATAACAATAACAATAAACAATAAGTGGGAGGAGACAATACTTATAAAATGAATAATTTTACGAGTATACCTAGAGTGCCTTAAATGATTTGTTATCCATTTACAATACTTTTTCTCAAATGCTGCAAAAGTTTATTCGCATCAAATAACAAGGAAGTGAAACTGATGAATACATTTCCGACATTTTAGTACTGACACATATGGTGGAATATCTTACATAATTATTATAAATATTTTGGGGATATCGAGAGGGCAATTCGAAAACCAAATATACTTTTCCATTAAAACTTCATCAAAGAAATAATCGATTACCAATTGTGGCTCAAGGATTTCATCCAGACTAATACCAATTACACCAGTTAAAAGTAAAATAGGTGTTAACAGTGACTATTTAGTGCCAAGGAAAGCCTATATAATCTGCTCTCGGGCGGGGTACCTACCTATAGGTCGTGATTTAGTACCACGAACGTACCACCGTACGAACCGTGATGAAATTTTGCAGCAATAATAGGGCGCGATGACACAGCTTTTCGTTTGTTTGCAGAAGGTCAAGGTTTGTTCCAGAAACGTTTCAGTTAGAATTGTTTTCTCAAATCTGTTTTTTTTTCTATAGATCCCTAGCCTTATACCCTTTCGTAGACCCCTAACTACAGTATAGATTTCAAAAAAAGTTTTCTTTTTTTTTTTAAATGCCCCCGCAATCAGATTTTCTTAGGATCGTCCGATTGCTAAGTAGCAATCGTTTGAATTTTATTTTCGGAAAAATCTTGTAACTTGACAGTTTGGCTTAGAATGAGTACAATCGACTGTTGCTGAATACGAATATGAAGTTTGCTGCCTCGTTACAGTACCGACTGAGGTCGAAAAACGCCAAAAACCTCGAAATTTTCGGACTTTTTCCGATTTTCTGGTCATAGCGCATACAATTCTGCGTCTAATGATCTCCCTAACCTTGTTACTGTTGAATTCATAAGCTCGCCATCATCAGTCGGAAAAAGTTAATTTTAATGAACTTTTGTGAAAACTGCAATAAACCTACTTTTAGACGACAGTCGTTTCAAAACAACCACTCATCATCCAGAGCTTGAAGACAGCGTTGGGAAATTCTTGGATCCTTCAGTCCAGTAAGTGGATATTGCTGGTGCTAGAGAAAAAAAATTGATTGCCCTGTACGGGGCTGACCACCTAACAACTAGCTTGAATGCGCTACGATACAAGCAGTACGTGACATCTGCCTTCAAGATTTCCAGTAACATTGCATCCATCCCTCCCACCGTTGCTGCAGATTTCCAGCATAGCTTGCGTGTATATTTGCAAGTGCAACAGTGGCTCGGCAATTTTGGATCCGAAACTGATGTGGGGTTGGAAATCAACCAAAAATGGCCTGATCCCACTTACCACCCTGAAACCCCCGGCTCCTGACAAACTAATACAGCAAATACCTATTACTTATCATACACTAACTGTTGTGGGTGCAGGGGGGGTTTATTTGAAACGTGCAATTCAAATACGTCTGACTAAGTCGCAATTTTTACCGGTGAAATACAAAAAAATGCACATGTGGCTTATTTGAAACTTTCGTCGACGCATTTCGCTAAATTGACGCAAGATTGCATTTGACATGCGTCACTTCTAGAGCTCGTGCATTTCCAAATTGCACGCGAAACTTTCTTGAAAATTTCAGTTTAGTCGACAAAGAATATTCTTGGCATCATGGAATTCGAAAACATTGTTATTTTAAATTCTCTAGAAAGGGCCGAATTGTATAACCATAACCGCAAAGGCTTCAGAAATCCAAGAATAGATATAATGACGGGAAATTTATAAAAACTATCGACTTCCAAAAGAATGTTTCGAGATTCCTTCCATGAATAGCAGTTCGAAAATTTTCCCGACAAAAGGGCCGGCTATTTGTTCAAAAATTCGACCAAGAGTTCTTTCTGTTTTTTGGTAACAAATCCGGACCTTCTCTTATTGGCACTTGCCCCCGCACTTTCCATCCTTTTTGCGGTATTGCCTACACTTATAGAAAGAATAAACTAAGATAATATTTAAAAAAAAAAGAAAAAACTTCAACTAAACACGAAACTGTATGCACGGAAATAATCAAAAAAGTTGTTTACGTTAAACAATTTCAAATTTGACATTTCAATGCATCGTTCCGTTTCGTCATATGAAATTTTCTAACAATGTCATTGGTTAGAATCTTTTACAGGACACGTTGCCAAGTTGAGTAGTGCAAATTTGAAAATTCACGATTTTCAAAATGCACAAGCTTTCAAATAAACCGATCGTGAATTTTTAGAATTCGTCGACGCACTTATTTCGACCAACTGAGTCGCATGTGAAAAATTTGCAGGGATTTCAAATAAACCGCCCTAAGGTGCGCAGATCTGTTCTGCAGCCAAGTCTGCATCAATTGTGCCGATACTTGCACCAGCATGGACGAAACAACCGACCGCGATGGGCAAGAAGACGACCCTCCGTTTGCTCCACCACTGTCAGAGGAAGGTGAGACTTCAGAAGGTAATTTTATGTATGCTTTATTTTATAACATATCAACATCCACAATGCTTTCAGTTGAAGAACAGCCGCCACACCCTGTTACTTCGAGTACTGAAGAGTCTAAGCCTGAGCCTGGACCATCATCGTCCATTACACACCCTACGCCCGGACCTTCCAGAGTCCCAACAAAACGAATGAAAGTGAAATGAAATATGAAATGTAATGAATGGGTAAATATATTTTTTTTGTAAATGGGTATTGATTACTTTCTGTTACATCTACTTAAGCACAAAAAATGGAGGGGGAAGTAATTTAGGGTTGACAAGTGTAGCTTGTGAAGTATTGACATGTACAGACTTTTTATTATTGGACCCCCTCATTTTGTCTTCTTTGACAAAATGAGGGAAATGAAATTATCAGTATATGCGTATATATTGATCAAAATTTAAAATTTTGGTGCTCACTGAACTCAATATTTGGTCGATTACAACTTTAATTCATTTTTTTTTTACGTAGAGTGGTTGTTTTGAAATCACTGTGGTCTAAAAGTAAGTTTATTGCAGTTTTCAAAAAGTTTATCAAAATTGGCCTTTTTCCGAGTGACGATGGCGAGCTTATAAATTCAAAAGTAACAAATTTCGGGAGGTCATTCGACGCAGAATTTTATGCTCTTTAACTTTGAATACTGTCACATTTTCTGAACGATGCGTCGTTTGGAAGGTATGACCAAAAAACCGACAAAAATCTGAAAATGTCGAGGTTTTTCGCGATTTTCGGCCTGATCCTGTTCTGCTACGAGGCAGCAAACTTCAGATTCGTATTCAGCACCCCAAAAAAACATATAATTCGGTTGAAAAACCTTCTACCGCTTCCATTTTACCAAAAAATTACCATTTATTTGTTTAGACTACATATGAGAAACATTAGTGAGAAACATCTTTCAGTGACTATTTCACTAGAGTGTTGTTAAATTCGGAAAAAAACCGAAATTTCGCAAAATCATTATTGTTTTCCTGATTCTATTTGAAGAGCAATTTCAAAATAAATGTCACTTCATCATTGTCACTTTTTTCCCTTTACAAGATGTTGCTACCAAATTTCAGATTCGACGTTTCGTCTTTGGACGGCCATCATCAACTTCGTTTTTCTAAATACGGGCCTGGATTTTTATTTCAGATTTTAAGAGTTTCTGATGTCCTAAAACCAATGAGATATTGCACTTATTCGAAAAATTTATATTATTGGCACTTTCCATAAGAACTTAATGTGTTAGATAGAGACAGAGAAGAGAATTTTGGTAGGAAATTGCTAAAAAGTGATAAAAATAATTTTTCGAATAAATGCAATACGTCATAGGTTTTGGGACATCAGAAACTCTTAAAATCTGGAATAAAAAATCCAGGTCCGTATTTAGAAAAACGAAGTGGATGATGGCCGCCCAAAGACAAAACGCCGAATCTGAAATTTGGTAGCAACATCTTGTAAAGGGAAAAAAGTGACAATGATGAAGTGACATTTATTTTGAAATTGCTCTTCAAATAGACTCAGGAAAAAATAATAAAGATTTTGCAAAATTTAGGTTTTTTCCGAATATCTTCGGAAGTATTCGGAATTTTTCAAATTTCAAAACGGAATTTTATTGGTCATAAGATTGCGCAACTTTGCCATAATTTAACCAACCTCGTATCTCTTACGGTTTCCGATATCCCCATGCATGCACTCCAATTTGTAGCACCCTGTATATGAAAATCTGTGAGAGAATCCCTAACGGTCGTTTATTTTCTGACGGTGAGTAGCAGACGCGGTCTCGGA